GATCGCAGGGTACTTAATATTGTGTCTGTGCAGAGTAAAATTGTCTCCTGAGAAAAGTTGAGTCCAACATAATCAAATAAAATAGATGATGATTAAACTAATTACTAAATAAATACGTAAATGGACAAAGGATACTATGTGTAATATAGATAGATACAGACCTAGACAATCAAGTCAGCTGCTGAGATTACAGTGGCCTTCCCTAGGCATAGGTGGACACATTCTGTTTGTTTTCTTCTGGTTGTCCTGTGAAAAATGAAGCTTCTAAATCTAGATGTTTCCGAATACTGACCAGTATGTGAACTCACTTGTTAGAAAGATATAGAGTTACAGCCATGCATCAAGAATTGCACCTCCAGTGCACAAACATTCTCTCTATKGGGCTGTCTGACCTGTGAAAATGTGGAAATGCCCATCAGAGTACTAATGACATATACCTGGGAGGATAAAGGTGGAGAACCCTTAGTATTACTACGTGGAAGTGTCTAGATAATAAACTCGTGCTGATGGACTGGCAGTGTCTACAGACACACATTCTATTTTAGTTAACAGGATTTAGAGTATCTCTTGACCCTAGAAACTATAATCCTACAGTTACTATTGAGAGCAAATACTTATTTAGAGAGAAAATAAATAACCTCTCACTGAGCACATGTCTAGTTTAGACAGAAATTTGTCATAGGCATGTTATTTTTGTTTCTTAACAAAATAGATTCTGTATGATAGTTTAAAAATATCATAGAGCACAGTGATTTTTTTTGACCATTTAAAACTTCTCAAGGAAAAATATTAAATAATGCCAATATAATAATAGTGTGTATATAATAAGATAAAAGTTCAAATATTTATCACTTGAATCTAAAGTGAAGTTTAGGGTTTGATGTTTTAAAAAGTGCATTTAACATTGTATTTATTGACCCTTCCCTTCTCTAAAACCTCTGGTATTTGAGTCTAAGATAATCACACAGTGCTCCAGTGATATGGCCACAAAATTAAACTCTATCATCACCCTTACAAATCCCCTCACCAGGAACAAGCTCCACATCACCTGCCGGTTCATAACCCACCTCTTTCTGACTCTGTCCTGCTGACAGTAAATCCCCTCACCAGCTAATTGAACAGATGCACCCAGTGCTGCTTCCTAAAAATCCACAAAGCTGGGCTTTGATGGACAGCAGAAAGTGGCACAATGGAAAACAAAAGCCTTTTAACTGAGAGCACCGCTTTGTTCTGCTCCRAACTTTAAGGTCACTCCAGCTCATTCTGGCTGCTGTGAGGATCTTAATTTTTACTCCACCAATTTACTTGCAGCTGTCATTCCTTCCAATATTAAAAGTTCAGCTTCTCGAGTGTGGGGAATTGAGGGAGAGGGGAATGAGAAGAGCTTGTTGTGGACTAAAAACAGCAAGAACCAGTGAAATCTGGCTTGGCTCTGAAGTACAAAAAGTTATTTTCAAAGCCTATAAATTATGACATAGTGATTAACATGTAATTTAAATATATTTAAACAACAATTATATCACATTTCCAGCCCAGCTAATTGGCCTCACAGATGTTCCCTTGGAGCTACATTGCCCTTCCAGGGGGAAATGAATGAGGTGCTTTTTATCATGGAAAACAGATAAAAAAAAAAAAAAAAGCAAACTGAAAAAAATGGAAATAGTAGCATAAAAAGCAGCCAGTACCCCTAAAAACAATGAATGCTGAGGGGCTTTGCTTAGCATTTTTTCCATTTTAATGTGGAAAACGGGGGAAAGCATGAAGAAGATGCTCTATTCCTGTGATGCTATTTGGCAGGCTGTCCAGAGATARAGTTGGCAGGCTTCTGACTGAGACACTTGTCAAAGCAGGGACAGTAGGCGCATTCTAATAGGGCACAGCCTAGCCTCCTGTCTTGGAGCAGGCTAACTACCAGAGGTACAGTGATTTTTAATACAATGCCTTTATAATCAAAGGCATTCTGGCCCAGGTAATGAAGATAGATAATGAACTGCTGAAGAATGTCTTGTGAGTTAGTCCTTCAATCATTTATCTCTCTCAAGTTTTATGAAATGAAAAGYGTGCAAGTTCCTTAGCTTTAATTTGAGTGGAATATTACCCAGTACAACAAATCTTACAACAAATCTGACAAGATTTAAAGTTAAGTTTAAAGGCTCAAAGAAACAATGGTATTTAGTCAGGTTTTGGCATACCTAGCCTTTTAACATTTGATCTAAGAATTGAAATAGATCCACTCCAGTCTCATTTCATTCTTGTTTTTTTCTCCTGAAAGTCTCAGGTACCATCTGATAACACAGTATAAATCCCGAAGACCAATGACCATGTTTCTTCTAGTACATCCTGCTATCTCCAGCACCTACCACAGTGCCTTTGCTTTTATTGTTGAGATTTAATACATATTTGTTAAATACTTACTAGTTAATCAGGTTTTTTAATATGATCAGGTTCTGATAGGCAGTTGTCTTAGTTCTTATATCATCCCAATGTTTTCTAAATCTTTGGATTGCATTGAAATTTCCTTTCTCAAATTTTATAAAGGAGTTTATTTGTATCTTTCTAAAAGATAGTAAAGTATGCCTATATTTAAGATGATTAGAAAACAGCTCAGCATTTAAAAATGACTTTGATGAGTGGCTTGGGCATATTGATGCTTGAATTTAAAAATTCAGTTCAGCTGATGTGAATATTTAAACATGTATATCATTTACATTTATATACTAATGCAGAGCTTACAAAGTCCATTTATACAGAAACCTATTTTGTCATGCCTAAGAACAAAGTAGAGTGACCAAGAATAAAAACTAAGGTCTGAGATATTTCACGTTTGACCAAATTCACAGTAATTGGGACTGAGCCCCAAATTTCTAACAGGATATAAAACAATCTACTTAACGCATTATATCACGTCTACACATTGCATGTTAAATATGTATCTAGAAGCAACCTAATTCTTCATCGACTAATGCATGGGTAAAGAAAGTGTGGTGAATATACATAATGGGGTACTATTTGGCCATGAAAAAGGATGAAATCCTGTCATTCATGACAACATGGATGTAGCTGGAGATCGTTATATTGAGTGAAATAAACCAGCCACAGACAGACAATGTATGATCTCATTCATATGTGGAATCTAGCTGATTGCATACAAGTTGGGAGTAGAATGATGGTTACCAGAAGCTGAGCAGGAGGGAAAGGAAGAGGTTGAACACTGAGTAACAAGTTACAGTTAGACAGGAGCAAGAATTTCTTTCGTGCTGTTGTGCAGTAGGGACACACAGGTAACAATAATGTACTGTACATTTCAAAAAGCTAGATGAAAAGATTTAGAATGCTTTCACCATAAACAAATGATGAATGTTTAGGATAGGTATGTTTAACCTAATTTAAACATTATACAACATGCATATGTATCAAAACATTACATGGTATCCACTAATAAGTATGATTTTTGTGGTCTTATATATCTATTGTAAATGGATTTTAAGGGGCTGAGTGGTGGCTCAATGGTAGAGGACTTGCCTAACATGTATGACGCACTCGGTTCAATTCTCAGCACTGTGTATAAATAAATGAATAAAATAAAGGTCCATCAACAACTAAAGACATATCTTTAAAAAAATGAATTTAAAAAGAAAAACGCTTCAAAAATAAAATATGTTGCTAGCTTACCATGACATAATATTGAAGGCATTGCTAGCTAACTTAGAAGAGAAGGAAATCTGTATATACTTTCTATGATATCATACTTGGGGTGGTAATGAAATGTAAACACACTCTAGGGAGTTCCAGACTTCTCTTTTGACTAGTCCAGGAGATGAAATTAGTTAAGAGTGATTGTATTGTTCAATTGTTATTGGTTTACATTAAATGGTTAATCTCCTGGGGGCCATATGCTTCTTAGATTATTTTACGAATCTCTAAATTGTGTGAATATTTACCTGAGATAATGTTTAGCAATGTTTCTCATTAATGATGTAGGTGTCTTGCCATATTTGCATCATCTCTATTCACATAAAGTTGAATTTTAGATAATTAAATTTTAAAATAAAGTAGTTTTGTCTGCATTTTTCATTTTCCCCAGTGCCTAGAAAAGTAGAAAAGAGTTGGCACGTAGGCAGCAGGTTCTCAAGAAACGTGTTTAGTAATGAGTGAAAATACTAAGAAACACAATTGAGATACATACAACCCCTTCACTTACCCTAAGGAACATTGTTCTTAATAATTTATGACATTCTATATCCACTTTCACTTAGCCCATAGGATAGACTATTAAGCTATAAAAATATAAGTGTCTTTTGGTGTTTTCACTGAAATCTGGTTTTGACAGATTTTAAATACATAAAAGAAGTGTAAAAGCACATTTCCCAGAAAGGAATTGATTTTTCCAATTTCCCACTGTTTCTTAACTAAAAATAAAGAGCAAAGATAAAATAGTGTATACCTGTTTATAATGAGAGGCTAAGAAGTCCATTGCTGATGTCCATTGTTGAAGTGGTGAAAAATTAATGTAACTTAATAACAAATTATTTCAGTATATTATAATCTACTTTATGACCTTCTAGATACATTTTTTGTTGTTGTTTTCTAAGAGAAAAGCTAATGCTATGATACGAGGCTATTTCAGTCATTTGGCATGTAAAGAAAGAAACTGTATCTCATTTACAAGTATAGTTAATTATTGATTGCTTTTTCCTTTCTTCTAGGGTTAATTAGAAGAATGCTTACTATTAACTTACATTTTCAATCCATTGAAAAATTTCTTTTTTCATATAASTTTCCTTTTCAGGAATTGAATTAAAATATTTAATTTCCTCAAAACATAAATACACTCATTTGCATAACACATACAGTTTTAATGTTTAGGGAAAATCACTGTTGTGCACGTTTCCCACGTTAGTTCATACAACTCATGTGCTTTTTCGTTTCCTTTTCTTTTTTAATTTTCCATTCATGTTGCCTCTTATTATATCCATCATTCCATTTTTCTTTCCTATTAGAGTGAAATTGGACACAGCCCTCCTCCTGCCTACACCCCCATGTCAGGAGTAAGTATTTCATGATCAACCTTCACCTCAGGATTTTTGGTCTTTGCTTACCATGTTTCTTCTCTCACATCTCCCCATAATTTCCTCATTTTGCCTTGCCAACAGTGAGTTAAGAATTTATAGACTGTGTAGCTGCCTTTGTAGGTGTCTTTTATCTCAGTAGATAATCCAAAGCTGAGATATCATGCATCATCAGTGGCTTCAACTTTCATCTGAAGGACTTACCTGGGCTCATAAATTATTCTTCTAGGTGAGGAGGTTATCGTAACTGCCATGATTACAGGTCATGTGCTAAAAAGGCAGAATCTCAGTGATGGTTCTCTAGTTACAGACTGGAGACTCAGACACAGTAACCACAGAATAAAAAGCAGTAAGGAAATGTCACCGTGCACGATGTATCACTGTATTTCTGCTCTTAAAGTCATTTGTCGTGAAAATTCATTTTGCATCTTTCTATCAAAAATAGGCAAAATTGTGGGAAAATGACATGAAATACTTTTTTATTCGATCTCCTTAGCTGGTTAGTAAAATTWAAAAAATATATATTTCCAAATTATTTTCCTGTGATTTACCTTTCAAGGGAAATGGGAATTATAACTGTTTCTAGTCTGTAATTCAATTCTTTAGCCACTAAGGGGAAAAAAAAATGTAGTAAATACTGTGACTTTCCTTTGAAAGACGAGCATTGATATCTTTCTGGTTCTTAGCACTCATGTTTTCCTACCATTCCTAACCACAGCTTCTCTCTAAATGTGCTTCTACTGTTAACAGAACCAGTTTGTATACCGGGATGGGGGTTTTGCTGCAGAACAAGGAATGGCAGTGCCCTACAGGGCCACAACCAGCACAATCCCAGAAGCACCAGTTGCTCAGGGAGCTGCAGCTGAGATTTTCGACGACTCCTGTTGTAATGGCACCCTGCGTAAGCCCGTGCAACCCCATGTCCAAGAGGACAGTAGCACCCAGAGGTACAGTGCTGACCCCACAGCGTTTGCCCCAGAACGGAGCCCACGAGGAGAGCTGGATGAAGAAGGTTACATGACACCTATGAGAGACAAACCCAAACAAGGTACAGACCAAACATTGAGAAAATGATTGCCACCCACATTGTCTTCCATCAAAAGTTACAATGTATTCTATGGGAATTTCTGGACAGCTGGACTGTGTAAGGTTGTGACCTGCAAAAGTCTTAGGCTGCTATCCCTTGTGGTATTCTTCCTGAACCAGCCAGTAGCATGYACATTACCTAGATGCTTCTGCTTAGAAATCAGAATCTCAGACCCTACCTGAATAGGATCTTCAGGGGAGCTATATGCACAGGCAAGCTGAAGAAGCACTCACCTTCACTGGAATGTATGAATTTGGTAGCACAGCACAACTGCAGAACCATTATTGTGATGGACAGAAAGGCTTGTGTTGGCAAAAGTGTCTGAAGCTTTTGATGGCACCAGTAAAATATGTGGTAGCTTCATTAAAATGACGTAGTTTAAATAACATAGTTTATTTTAGGAAATTATGATTTCTCATATGATACTTMTCAAAATGAAAGTTTTAACCCTCTATGTGCTTCCATATTCCACCAACTCTTAAAAAGAATGATTCGTGATTTTATAAAGCTCAGCAATGACTTTGTAAAAGTTAGTGGTAGAAATATTAAACACCCAAATCAAATGTTTCAGTTTTGAGAAAAAAACACAAGTGCCTCTTTTCTTCTATACTAAAAGCATCACAAAACAGAGATGAATAACTGATGTTAAAAATGATGATATTGTCTCTGAGTCTTCAGTGTCAATAGCCATATTTTAAGACTCTCTATGAGAGCCTCTTATGTTATTTTTATATGATTATGTTCACTTTTATAAAATACCTTATAGAAATTCCTGAAGACATTATTGAATGTACAGTTTAATGTATAGAGTTGTCCAAAAGTGGCACAAATGTAGGTTTTGTGAAGATTTGGTAGAGTCCCTAAAAGCAGAGTTCTCTTTAGAAGATTGTCACCTCAACTAGAATTATCTCTCCCAAACTGAACAGCTGTACAAGTTTGTATCAGTACAGCAGATAACTAGATAGTGTTGAAAAAATAGTAATAGAAGCTTCTAAGAGAAGAGCAAGTCAGTCTATGTAGACTTGCTGAAGAGTATTCTTAGATTTTATCTCTGGACACTGTGATCCAAGTGTTTGTAATATATTCTAGCCTAGTCCTCAGAGTATAGAATTTTACTATAGGCATTCCTACCTTTTAAGAATGTTCTGAAATCTGCTAAGAAAATTCAAAATCTAGCTACCTTGTAAGTTCTTCATACTTTTTTTCCTCCAAATTAAATCTTGCCACTAACTATATAGTTCACCCTACTCCTGTTGGGGAAAAGTAAAAACAGTGTAATAGAACAAGAAGATTATATAAGAGAAATTAGAAGATCTGAATTCTCTATGAAGCTGGAAAAATAAGATTTGCACTTTCTTGCTCAAGAATTATGGTAGGGATGAAATGATAGCGTTTTATACTTTTTGAACTATAATTCATATACATGATGGTGGGATATTCAGAACTGCCTTTTAGCTTGTACTAGTAATGCTAGACAGTGAACTCTATCAAGCATGTGTTTATTCCGGGAAAAATTTAATCCTGGCTAATGGGATTTCACTTTGTACATGTTGGGCTAAGAATGGGGGATAGAAAGTTTGTTTTAAATAATTTTTAACCTTAAATAATTTTGCCTTCTCCATATCCTGACTCCAAAATATGAATACCTTAGGTTTTTATGTGTATGGTAAAAAGAGATGACAAAGTATTCTAGTAGATATGTAGATGTATGTCTTATTGTGCTCTATTACCGATTTTGAGGTAAAACTCAGCTTGAGAAAGCAGTGTTAGGTATCAGAGTTATTTTTATTTTAKGCCAGTACCTTTTCTCTAAATGGATTTATTAGATTGAACCATGCAAAGTAGACACTGTTTTTACCATTAAAATGACTATTTTATATGATTGAAATTAATGACTTGCTCTTTTGTGACTATGATTAGACTTTGGAAATAAATGTTATAATTATTAAGCAAGTGCGTATGTAACAGCAAGCAACTCAGCTAGAAGCATGTAGGATGTCTATCAGATTTATTTTATTAAAAAGTTGAAATTTTTCCTGGGCTGTTTCCTTTCCTATGCCAAAAGCTTTCTGGGAGTAGCTACAATCAAATGTTAATGGTATAGGCATTCTTGGCAAGTCACATAGACTAAAACCATGATTCTTCACTTTATCCACTTTTTTTTTTTTTTTTGGCACAAGGTTAAGTCATGAATGTTTTGGTTTTTTGATATTTTTATAAAATTTCTAATTCCTCTATATGGAAGGCTATTTAACTCAGACAGGTCATCTTCTTTTCAAATATAAACTAACAATTTTCAGAAAATAAAAGCTTTTACACAACCAGCCCATATGTGGGACAGACAAATAAAATTGGGTGGAAAGAAGAGCAATCTAGAGGAGAGGAATTCTGACCCTGGCCTTGTCAGTGCCTTGCTTTGTCATGAATACTCCTTTTTTCATAGAGCAGTAGTAATCTACAAACAGCTTGAGAATTTGTGAACACCTATATGTGGCTTTCCATACAAAGAAGCTAACCTGAGTATGATTATCATTCTTCTGAAAGCAGATGCTACCTGATATTTCTGTGTTCCTACAGAATACCTGAATCCAGTGGAGGAGAACCCTTTTGTTTCTCGGCGAAAAAATGGAGACCTTCAAGCTTTGGATAATCCCGAGTATCACAATGCTTCCAGTGGCCCACCCAAGGCAGAGGATGAGTATGTGAACGAGCCTCTGTACCTTAACACCTTTGCCAACACCTTGGGGAATGCTGAGTACCTGAAGAACAACGTTCTGTCTGTGCCAGAGAAGGCCAGGAAAGCGTTTGACAACCCTGACTACTGGAACCACAGCCTGCCCCCCAGGAGCACCCTACAGCACCCAGACTACCTGCAGGAGTACAGCACAAAATATTTTTATAAACAGAATGGACGGATCCGGCCTATCGTGGCAGAGAATCCTGAATACCTCTCTGAGTTCTCGCTGAAGCCAGGCACTGTGCTGCCTCCTCCACCCTACAGACACCGGAATACTGTGGTGTAAGCTCAGCCCTGGTTCTAAGGTGGAGAGACACGCCCGCTCCAATTTCCCCACCCCCTCTCTTTCTCTGGTGGTCTTCCTTCTACCCCCCAAGGCCAGTAGTTTTGACACTTCCCAGTGGAAGACATAGAGACGCAATGATAGTTACTCGCTTATCTAACTTGAGCATAAGAAGGAAGGACTGAAAGAGAAAGACAGGAGGAACCACACTGTTTCTTCATCTCTCTGAATGGGTTGGTTAGGAAAGTGAACAGCTGGAGATGGACCAGAAAATAATAAGGCAATGCTGCCTGCTGTCAAACTAGCTCTCTCTCTCCCTTTCCCTCCCTTCCTCCCTCTGTTCCTTTCTTCTTTCTTCTTTCCTTTTTTTTTTAAATTGCTGATGGTTGAACCACCCACACTATCTGTTCCTTCCTGTAGTAATTGATGATCATATTCAGCATCCCTGGGAATCATTAAATTTCCATTAGAACAAAAGGATAATCATTTCAGTAACATGAGACTAACTGAGATTCAGAATCCAATTTTTTCCTCAATAGTTTCTATCCTGGTAAGGAAGAATGACAATCCCAGCTTTCATAATTTTTAAATCTTCACCAAATTCATATAGAGTAATTTTGTTTGGAAGCCTTTTCTGATTTATTTTTCTTCTCCTCCTCTTTTCCTTTTCCTTCTCTAACTTCTTTTTTATTTTTGCTTTGGCTCATATCTTTGTATTGGTTACTTTTCTATTTGGGGCTTTAATTTCTAATTGCAAGAATATTTCCATCAAAGCTTCTTTATATCATTTTAAAAATATTTTAATATGATGAAATGGCCACTATTTTTTTTTAAATCAGTCTTTAAAATTAGAAGGGAAGGTCAAGACCCTAGTTAAATTCTGCACCAACTCTAGCATTCATGTTTTGCCCTATTGAATATATTCTCCCTCACCCTTTACATTCTTCAACATTTTCTTCTCTTCCATAAATGGCAGTACTTGATAGGCAGTTGATAATCTTAAGAATGGAAGGAATCAAGGAGATAGTTCTATGTGGTTCAAGAAAACTACTGATACGTTCAGGGGTGGTCCAATGGGGGAATCCATGAACTGGAAGAAACACACTGGATGGGTATGTCTACTTGGAAGATATTCAGAAATGTAGTTTGCACTTAAGCTATAAATTTATTTGTTATTTTTCTGAACTCCATTTTGGATTTTGAATGAAGCAATATGGAAGCAACCAGCAAATTAACTAATTTAAGTACGTTTTTTCTTTAAGAGCTAAGATAAAGACAGACTGTGGAAATGCCAAATGAAGCAAATTAGGATTTTGGAACAAAATCCAGGGATTACAGTGACACAGCGAGCACATTAGCTCCATAGGATATCATGTTTGCTACATAAGGAAATTTGTTCAGTTTGAATATTCCATATGAAGGAATGCAAGTAAAGGATTGGTTTGAATTCCATGGAATTTCTAGTAGGAGATTCTCTTTATATTGAATAGAAGGTAACTCTTTGCATAGATTGGTATAACATAAAGAAAAACACAAATATTCATAGCTCGTAGGTAGGTCCTTGGGTCAAAATTTGTAAATAAATGTGAAAATTCTTCTCATGCAATCATTTTATTCTCCAACACATGACTCTTTTGACATTTCGACTTAAGAACTCTTTTTCTGCACACACTGCTCCGAGATGTAGAACCATCTGTGACTTTTCATTTTAAAAGAACATCTACTGAGTTAAGATGAGTGATGGAAACAAATGACAGTTGAGTTTCTAGTAAAGCAGGGGCTCACAATAATAGGAAAATTATATACATATACATATATATATGTATATCTATACATACATGTATATATGTATATGTGTGTATGTATATATATGTTTTGTGTTTTGCCCAAAAATCATTTATAATTTTTAAAATTACTTTTTTCTAATGTTTAAGAATTGGGAGCAAAGGAAATTCAATAACCTAAAGATAATCAGTTAAACTAAAAATGTCCATTGGTAAAGCAGAGAGAGATTAGAGGGGGAAAATTCCAAGTAAATCTGTTTCTACCTAATTTGAAAAACAAATCTATTCATCCAAAACCTATTTATTCAACAGATATTGATTTAGAGTCTACTAAAGGTACTATGTTATATGGGGAACATAGAGATAAATAGAATATCCTCCCTGACTTCAAAGTTTTGCAGTCAAGACTTATTTGGAATGAAATTTTAATTTCTCCATGAGTTCAAAAACTCAGATTGCATGGATTATTTTGTGGGTAGCATCCATAAAATCAGATTTTTTTTTAAGTAAAAAAAGTCTTGTGAACTAATTTGGAACATGAATGAAACATCCTTCAAGTTACTGAAATTGGCAAATAGGATAATTTCTACCATATCCTCCAAACATGGTCTAATAGGATATAGCTTCACTGGCTCATTGGTCTATCTAGATTCCAACTTCACCATTAAAACAATAGCCAATGATGAATGATCTTTGGTGAAATCCCTTAGAGGTGCTGGGGTTGGTCTCAAGTTCTCAGGAGTCAGGCAAGCTGAAAGAGTGAGGTTAAGGAGAAGGAAGATTAATGAGGTTCTTTCCAGTGAAGTTCATCACTTTCTCAAGGATGAAAACACAGATTGAATCAGGACCACAACCTACCATCTCAAAGCTCTTCCCCTCCATTCAGAGAAATTTCTAGGAAAAGGGCACTTCCTCTTTGTACCCATGAGAATTGAATATAAACCCCTCTTTCTAGATAAATCTGTATCAAGTCATCATTGACAGCACTACTTGACCTTTTCATTTATAATATCCATATGTCTTTTGCTGTATGAATGGGAAGCAGGAACACCTAATTTGAAGAAGGAAAAATAAGAATCTTTTTTTAACTGTTAAGGTAATAGATATATACTTAGCATATGTAGTCTCCTTTCTCTTAAAACACAAGACTTACAGTTTATGTAATTTCCATGTAATCACTAGAGATTGATGTAAGTACAATTCAAACTGGCCTAAAGTACTTAACATTTCTTTTGAATGATTTGTCTCATATGATTGATTTCCATCGTTTGGGGCTTTCATTTTTGTTTTATTTTTGTCCCCTAGGAAAACATATTTAACAGTATATAAGAAGGAGTAAAAATAACATTTTAACCCAGTAGAGTGAAATCTTAAAACACAAGTTAAAGCTTGCAAATTGCTTTGGCATATCAGAAACCAGAGGCCAGTGGTATCAATGGAAATATGCAGATTCAATTGTGTAAATTTGAGAAAAATTAATATTAAAACTATACTGACTGTATTTTTTAAATTGCCAGATTTTGTCAATTGAACCTATCTTGTAGAATCCTATTTTCAGACACAGAAAAACCTTATAAATTGTTGTTTAAAGAATTAGTTCTTAAACAGGTACGAAAAGATGTCTTCTAAACCTGAGTAAATCCAGAATCACAAGGCATGTGTGGCACAGAGGTACTTTGATGACCTAGCAGCTGTTGGTTTTCTGAATATTATTAGTAGCACAGGATCACATGAGAGTGTTTTCTTCAGAAGCATTCTCAAATAACATGAAAAACAAAGCAATATTTAAACTCTATTAAAAACTAAGAAACTTAGCTTTGTATATCAGGAGGAATGATCTAGTAGTGTACCTTGAAGTTCTTCCTGGTGTGTCAGTGTCAAAGATGGATGTGGCACCAGGATGGTGCTCATCTCTAATGCTGGGGAAAGATAGAAAAAGTGCTCTGAGGCTCTGCTGCTAGATGAACTTGGAAGGATGATTAGTGCACTTTGTGAAGTGTCAAAAAGCAAAAGAAAATTAACATCATTTACGCCTGACAGGGAAGGATGTAAATACAATTTTTTTTTAGAGCTATCTAACCTTTATTTAAAAACTTGAATTATTCACCCACCTGTAGTTGTTAATTATTTAACTAGTCTATGTAGTTCCTAAGGTAATAGAAAAGGGGATCATGAAAGCATGTATATAACTGGACAGAATCACGATAATGCTGTAAGATGTAGATTTAGTTAGGTTGTTATCTGATGTTAAGCAGTTTTAATATTACTAATTAAATCAAACTAGAAAATTAACCATAGGGTATAATGTAACAAAATAAAATTCAGGATATGAAAATGTAGAATGTAAAATTAAGTTTGCCATTTAAATTGTTACTTGTGGGGTTTAGCTGAGAGTAGACATCTATGGTTCCAAATTTGGAAACTGTTTAAAGCACTACAGCTAAATTGTTTCTAGTTTTCTTATTTCTTTATCACTTTTCAAATGTATTAAGCATAAAGAGAAATTTATTTTATGTTTTTCATTTTGTTTTGCAAACACCACCTTGTAGCATTTAGTAGGTAAATAAGTTGCATGAGATTTTAAGTAAGAAGTCTTCAAAATGAAGTAAAGAAGATGAAAATATTCTATTACCTTATGCAGAGACAAAAAAGAAAAAGAAAGAAAAAGAGAGCGAAAAAGAGTGCTGTCATTTAGAAAGCAAACAAAATGTATTTAAATTGTGACATACCCTTTGTTTTTTCAACATGCCTTTTAGCCTCCAAAACCAACAAGGAATTAGTTAACATTTTTTTTTCTGACAAATACATGTTAAACCAAACATTTTAAATGACTATATTGTCATCCTTTTGAACTCTAGATTTTAGAATGATGATTTGGTATGGGGCAAATGAAAAATTCAGGTATAACCTTTTAGCTGTTAAAGAGCCAGACAAATCAACTTCAATTGTATGCACTGTGGGCAGAACATCCCTATCTGCCTGCGTTCATGGACTTTGTTGTGTGTCAGGTGAAGGACAGCCTTGTACCTGTTTTCTAGGCACATAAAGGCACACTGGTGCCTGCTTGCTATTTACTCAAGAACAAGTAACAATGTGTGGAAGTAGATGTATAATTTTAGGAGATCATTATCAGTAAAGACCTTATTCTCACTATTACTACAGTGGGGTCAGCTTATATATTTCTGGGTAGAATTAATACCTTTTTTTTTTTTTCTGATTCTGGAGATGCTTTTGCAAAAGGAATTTTCTCCACAGTTGTAAACACAAAGCTGTTGTGGGTATCCTGTGGGGCCAGGAGCCCTTGACTTTGTGTGGGTTATTTTCTTTTAACATCATGGGCTGCTTTGTTCAATTCATTAGAAGAAAGGATTCTCTAAAATAGTAGAAATTCCACACACTGTTCAAGTTCCACTGACTTTGTAGAGAGGCAAAATAATAGGATATGTCACTTTTCCAAACT